TTGACTTCTGTTAAAGTAAAATCATGTCTATTTTGTTTTCAAAGCATAAATAACAGCAGACCTAATATAATAAATAAGACAAAGTACAGCAGACATTTTTATGATATATAAATTCTTTACAGTTTAAATAATTTGCATTATTTAAATATCAGATTTGTATTACTGTTATAGAAAAATCGGTCACGCACTTCATTTTGAGGTCCAATTCTCAATATCATTAACAAACCATTAACTATGACTTTTGCCTCAATAAACTCCTAATTACTGCTTATTAATAGTTAGTAAGGTAGTTGTTAAATTAGGATTAGGTATGTAGAATATGGTCATGCAAAATATGTGCTTTATAAGCACTAATAAACAGCCAATATGTTAATAATAGGCATGCTAATAAGCAATTAGTTAATAGTGAGAATTGGTCCCTATACATGTTACCGAAAAATCAAATCCAGGTTTTTTTTTATTTTATTTTTTTAAATAGCATAAATTAAAAACAGTACAGCAAACACTAGTATGATATATACATACTTTACTATTTAAATAATGAAGTAATTTTTTTTGCACATAATGATAATGTGAATGGTATTTTTCGCATGATCACGTCATATTTAATGTCATAAAATCATAATAGTAAGTTTTATTAATGTAAATATATATTTTGAGCTGATATATGACGTAGACCACTTCATGACAGGTTTCGTGTTTCGATTCTTTTAATTCTGCTGTCTTGAAAACAAACTCTTAAGACATCTGTGTCTACATCTCACATGACATTAAAATGATGATCATAAACACTCGAGAAAGTGAAGCTAGCATGATTTTATCACTCGTGCAGAAATGCAAACGTTTTTCATCTAGTGTTTATCTTCTTTCTGTTTTATTTCCTGGAAATTTCAGCGAAAGCGGAGGGTCACATATTATGGAACAGATTTAACAAGATATCTCGCATACGTTATCAGAAATGAGTTTCACCCACAGAACCGGAATAAAGTTTGTGACAAGTTTGGACCACTCAGTAAATGATGAGGCATGAAAGGGAAAGTTTATATGTTCTGATCTTATATGTAAATAAATTAAATAAGAATCATTAGTCAACACTGGTCTTGCCTTGTGAGTTTCTGTGAGTTTTGTCTCTTATTGTTATTTTGACTTGTTTCTTAAGCTCAAAATCTCATAGTCTTAAGTGTATATTAACAAGAATTTACTTAATACTAAGCCATTTTTATAATGCATTTAGTTTTCACTATGCAAAAGAAGCCTGTAACATTATTTTGTCTAATGCTGTCAAGCGTAAATGTCTCAAGATGCTTGATTAGACGAGGTCAGAGGGTTGATTTCCTGAGGCCTTCAGAGTCTAAATGATTTTCAGGGCTGTCTGTGAGTTAACAGAAAATATTAATGTTTTTTTCATATTCCTGCCACATCGTATGAATCAAATTATGATATTAATGCATTCATGTGTTTCAGTTGCAGCAAAAGACCATTAAATCTCTTTTAAACTCAACAAGCTGTACTGAGGTAAGATTCTGGACTAGCAGTGTGAAAGTGTCAGTCATTTAGAACCATTTCTGTTTTTAATTCACAGTTAATTGTTTGTTTGTTTGACAGGGTTACAGTGTGGAAGATGTTCTTGGGTCGGAGATCGGTCCTCTCAGCGTCTTCGTCCACGTCGTCAACAGAAGTCACACTGTTTGGATGGGTTTGGAGGAGTGTGACCTGCACTGACTACTAGCACACTTATCTGTTCATTTCATGGTTTAAAAAGAATGATTCGTCAACACTAGTCTTGCCTTATTTCCAAATGTATGTAAATAAGCCAAAAAAGTGTAGAGTGCTAGAATAACTTTACCAATGATCATTCTGGAGCCTGTAGTATTTTGAAACTGTTAAAAAAACCAGAACTAATAATATTAGTATGAAAGATGCTCATGTGATGATGGCATCTATATTATGGTGGTGTTTAAGTTAATTGTACAGTAATTGATTTATTGCTCTCTATGACAGCTGAACACCTACATCCACTATAAATAAACGTTTTATGCCACCAAATAACTGATTAAGTCATTTTCATGAAAGATAAACCAATATTATTTCTTCACAACCACTTTTAAGTGTCTAATAACTAGTATGCAAAATTGGTTTTATTCCTAATTTGACAATAAGTACACAATAAAACCTAATATGTTCTATGAATATATTATGTTTAATGATTATTATTAATTATTTATGCCATTGAATTAATTCTATGAATGGGTCTAACTGTAAACTAGGATCAAATGCTACTCCTTTTGTATTTACCTGTGAATACCATTGTTGTTGTTTTTCTTTTTTCTTTCTAAAAAGTTGCATCAATCCGTCAAGTACCTTTGTAGTAGTTGTAGCCCTTATTTACCAACTTCTATTTAAAAGCAAAACCAGCAGCTTCAGAATTTATCTTGAGGTCTGGCAAATTAATTGGAAATTTGGAAATGTGTCTCTCTAGTGTTTACCACAAACCTTATTTTATTCTTAAATCCGAAATCGCTGTGCCTTACAACCCACGTGACTTTAAGTATTAAATTTAAAAATCTCTACTCACGAATCATGATCCCGTCGAGCTGATTGACAGCTACACCTTTCAACAGACCACGTCCCCTCAGACCCGCCCCCGTGCACACATGCGAGTTCACATGGATCTTTTTGGAAATTTCACTTCGTTTTATTATACATTTGTACACACTGTACAATTTCAAACATGCTCTGGCATTAATAGGAAGTTTTTGGGAATTATAAAACGGGTACCATAAAAACATATGAAGTTTTTTCTGTAATAATTTAGAATACAAAAACATTCACAAAAAGAATCACGACGACACCATGCGGTGCCAAAGTCCATCATCCAATGTGTAACTTAATGCAAGTCTGCTACAGAAGAACATAGTAATTCAAGTTCACTGAGGTATGTTTTTGGCAAGGTTTTTGGGGAGCTCTCGCTCTCTCTCTCTCTCTCTCTCTTTCCCCGACGTGCGTCACCGACTGTCAACAGCCGCGCGCGCCGCAGTCCCAAACGAAGTGTCTGGCATGTGTTTGAAGAAGTTTCTGAGGCTGCCGAGTTCTCGCGTCAGCCGATCGATGGTTTTGTGCAGGCGCTCGTTGTCGGTGCTCAGCTCGAGCATCTTCTGCTGCATCTCCAGGTTGCGCTGCTTCGCCTTGTCCCTGCTTTTACGCACGGCGATGTTGTTTCTTTCGCGCCGCTGCTGATACTCCGGACTGTGCCTATCGACTGACTTCTTGCCCTTTTCCTTTCCCAGCCTCCTCTGGGTGACGGGTTCTGGCTCTGGTGTGGTGGGAGGTGTCGGTTGACCCGTGTGCATGAGGCTCACGTTCGTCTGCGCGCACGTCTCGATCTGAGATGGTAAGGACGAGGACAGTTCGCTGTCGCTCCAGTTCGCCTCCTTCTTGATCGGTGCGCAAAACGCGCCCTTGCCAAAGCCCCCATCCTGGTGCTGAAGCCTCTCCGCGCTCTTTTGCGCAAAAGCGCTCGGCAGGTAAAAGCCGGGCTTTTCTTGCTTCACGGTGTTGTTGAACAAGTCTGCAAAGAGCTCGTCGTTGCAGATCTCCAGAGGAACCGTGGACATGGACTCGATGTAGGCGCTGAAGTCGATGGCGCTCTCATCATCGTAGATGGCAGGCGCGTTGCTGAGCTCCATCATGCTGCTGCTGCTGTTGTTGTTGTTGCTGTTGTTGTCCTCGGACGTGCCATGCTCTCCCCCGGATTTGACATCCCCTGGCATGACTTTATTGTCATAGAAGTTGGCAGGCTCCATGGCCCAGCTCATGTTGCATGGTGGCGTTACGCACTGCGAGTCCAGGTTGTATATGTCAGACATGGACGCTGCGAAACTCAAACTCAATCAGCAGATACCTTCCTCGTCCCCTTGGCAATCCTCAAAAGGCGTAACTTTTCACGCACACCCTGTCTCGCGCAACTAGCGCGTATCTCCAAAAGTCTGGCTGTCTCTCGAGCAGGTGTTAAAGTCCTCGTAGCTCTCTATCTAAACTCTGCTGTTCGCGTGCTTTAAGTACGAGCGCTCGGCTTGCGTCACGGCATCACCGCCCCCTTCCAGAAGCCAGTGAATGTCCAGCGTCAGTCACATGTTCCGCCTGTGCTCCTATTTGAGGAGACTCGGGTGTGCATGAACGCCTACCAGCAACTTTTAAGAACAGCCTGTCAGAACTTCATGCTGTAGGACATGAGGACATGTTTGAATGCGTATGCATGTGTGGAAGAACATAGCAGTGAGAGAAAATTAATTTTAATGCGTCCCTACCAGCATATATACATAAATTAAAAAAAAGAATAAAAAAAATAAAATTGATTTAAATTGTTTTTTTTTGGGGGGTTCGTTCGTGTTTATTATTAATGTTATTAGGCTATTATAATTATGGACTTTCGTTCACATTTATAATAAAGTAACAATTACTTATTTATTATTAATGTTTTGATTATTATCAATAATAATTATTATTACAGTGACAAATTTTGTGTTTTGCAAAGTTTGCTGCTTCAGTATTTGTAGATTATTTTTCCACATTTCTATGGCATAATGAAAGACAATGATAAGCATATCATACATTTTAAAGGCAAATATATATATATATATATATATATATATATATATATATATATATATATATATACACACACACATAGTTTTTTTGTGAAAAGTTCATTTTTTGGCCAATGAAGCTTTTAGCAATTATTTAAAATGCATCTGATCACTCTACACAATAATCTAGAAACAATGTGAATGAACACCACAACAGCTTAAGCCGCAAACTTTGCGAAACACAAAATTTATGTCACTGCCAAAACTTTTGGCCATGACTATTATTATTATTATTAATATTATTATTATGAGTATGTACGTGTAGAAAGAAGGATCAGTGAGAGAAAATGAAATTAATGCGCCATTTTCAACCTTCCTATATAAATAAATAAATTGGAATAAACAAATTAAAAGTAATTTTTGTTTCGTTTGTATTTAATATTGTTGTAGTTTGTCATTCATATTTGTGGTATTGGTAGTTATTATTAGCCTAAGTAATTTTGTTGGATATGAAGGCATGTTTGGATGCGTATACGAGTAGAAAGAAGGATCATCGAGAGAAAATGAATATAATACGAATACAAATATAGTTGGTTCATTATTATTAATATTAATATTATTTTCATTATTATTATTAACTGGGTGTTTAGCCTACTGTATTGTATAGTCGGAAATATACATCCATTTATTCATTTATCTATTAAAATCCATGTCTTTGAGAAGCACATTGAACGTACAAATTCAGTACAAGCAGAATATAAACTGAAACGAGAGTCGAATTAAAGCAAGAAAGTTATTTGTTGTTAATGTTACATTAAATTTTTTAAAAGTTTTAAATAATTTTGCCGTTATATAAGCAATACAAATTAAAATTAGTTTTATTTTCCTGCCTTATGCATGCATTAATAAATAATTTTCATTAATGGGGCCAAAATGTCATTCATTATTTTCTGAGGATGGCACAGTTGTTTTTCTATATGCAGGCATATTGTGGCACTTCATCTTGTCCACATGGACATCTAGTGGATATCAGAGGAATCGCCTCTATTTATTCTGCGTTGATGTTCTTTCCCGCGAAAACTTCGGGCGATACCAAACAGTTGATGGGATTCGTTTATGTCACTCATCCTATAATTGTCAGTCTGCCATTAAGAAGGTTTGGAAAAGAGCTTATTGTAATTTTAAATATACGTAATTGCAATTTAATTGCGTAATCTAAGAAATAACGAGTTATATGTGATTTAAGCACACACGTGTCTAACTTCTCCCCCTCTCGACTGATAGTGAGGAGCGTATTGTTGGTTGGTCAAAATTTCCCCGCGAAATTTACGTCACAAGACAGTTTCGCGCCACCGTTCACATCAGAAGGGGAACAGTGCGAACGGTAAGTGTTATATCTCTGTATAAACTCATTGTGTTTGAAAGGAAATGTAATCACGATAACCTAAAAACAGATCTTGGTCAACTGGACCTTAACATAGTGCGTTGTAATTGAAAATAATAGTTATTCTGTATTCTAGTTAAGACTATGTTATGTCATTGTTGTGGCTGATGCAGCGTGCTGCTAGCCTCTCACTCTTCCAGTAGAAATGTAGCAACTCAAAGTCACTGTACATCCTTGATACCTTCATAATAAAACTCAAATTTTTTTTTTTCAGATGTTCTTACAAAATAGATGTGCTACGTAGATTTACCGATTTAGTTTAAAGATCAAGAAGTTTTGGTATTTGGACAGACAGTTATTGTATTCGCTGAGTATCTCATACAAGCATTCAACTTATTTTGCCTAACTAAACTTTATTTTTTTAATGTTGTGTTTAGCTAGATATGTTTACTAATAAGTGTTTTGTGGTGCAGTGTTATGATGAAGACCGTGACCTCATGTCTTTCATTCTGGATAAATCATTAGGGCTAATGTCATAATATAATAGTTATAATATTTGCATAACATTTATGATTATGATAGTTTATATTAACTTAAGTCGTAAGTCATTAACATATGATAAATGAGGTATTAAGTTTCATATATGCTGAACTAGTTTGTGTATGAAACGAACCTGCAACTATTTGAATTCAGTGTTAGTGCACATTAAAAATTAAATAATTGTATATTTAATATATAGTAATTTAATATTATATAATTATAAATGTAATTTGTTAACGTAGTAAATTATATTTATTGTTTTGTAACATGATTTAGAAATCGTTTTAATGAATTTTGGTTCCAGTTCATTAATTTTGAGATTTAACATTTCAGTTTTGAGTCAAGATGTCTTCACCATCATCCCAGAGCCGTAAGAGAGACCCCCCGACCCGTGAGTTACATTGACTTTGAATGCACACATATGCTGGCATGCATGTAGTTTTCGTGGTTTTTTCTGATCAGTTCCAGACAGGTTTGTTTTTGACAGTTGCTGCATGTGAACGGTGTTTGTGTGTGTTTGCAGCTGCGAGCGAGGATCCTCTCTCCCCTCCATCACAGCGGTCGAGGGCTCATGACACGTCCACAGAGCTTCAGCCCATGCCCACGTCTCCAGCCATGGACGTGTCGCTGTTCTCCAGCCCTATGGCCCCACGCTCTGGTGCGGCTCGTATTCAACATCTTACTTGCACTGAATCGAATAGTTTATGCAGCTAATTTGAATTAGGAAAACATCAAGATGTGTTTTATGCAGTCCTGCAGAGCGAGATTGACGTGAGTTCTCCGCTGATGTATGGCACTCCCAGCTCCAGGGTGGAAGGAACGCCCCGCAGCGGCATACGCGGGACCCCGGCGCGTCAGCGGGCCGACCTGGGATCTGTCCGGAAAGCTCCACAGGTCGACATGCATTCGGAACCGGTGAGTGAAAGTTGCTGTTTCATTTTGAAAAAAACAAAGAGTTTAATCTTTGCATTTTGGCTTACTGGTAATAAAAAAAAGTGATTTATTACATTTACCTAGTGCTGTATTTACATAATATATCTGTGTGTACTGTGTATATTTATGTATATATAAATACACACACATACAGTATATATTTTGAAAATATTTACGTCTATATTTATATTCATATAATTTATATTATAAATATATAAATTTGACATTTTTCTTAAATGTATACATGCATGGGTGTGTATTTATATATACATAATAAATATACACAGTACACACAAACTTTTATTTTGGATGCGATTAATCGTTTGAAAGCACTACATTTAACATCATGATCAGATACTTCTAATTGTTAATATTTTACTCTGTTGTGAGTATGGACTTTTTTTTGTGGCTTGTTCATGAGCATCAGGCATGTGATCAGCTAAGGGCAAAATTATAATGTAATATAAAATTCATTCATTATCAAAATTCAAAATAATTCATTTAAATTTATTTAACAAATCAATGAAGTAATATGTAATTACACTATTGTACTGGGTCATACTTCAGGTCAGAAAATACGGAAATCCATATTATCGTTAGCTTTAATTGAAGTAACTTTAATCGAAGTAAATCTGAAAATATAAATATTACCTAAAAAACTAAAGGAAAATCATAAATGTTGCCTTAGCAACTAACTGAAATAAGTTGAAGCACGAAATTTATTAGCTGTAAATAAAAATAAACTAAAACTGAAATGAAAATAAATGAAACCTAAATGCTAATATTTAAAGGGGTCATATGACGTTGCTAAAAAGAACATTATTTTGTGTATTTGGTGTAATGAAATGTGTTTATGCAGTTTAAGATTCAAAAAACACATTATTTTCCACATACTGTACGTTATTGTTTCTCCTCTATGCCCCGCCTTTCTGAAACGCAACGATTTTTACAAAGCTCATCGGTCTGAAAAAGCGAGGTGTGCTGTGATTGGCCAGCTATCCAGAGCGTTGTGATTGGCCGAATACCTCAAGCGTGTGACAGAAATGTTACACCCCTCACATACTGTTGATGCCGTGTCCGGCCGGAGCGACGATTCAAAAACATGAAAACCCATTACAAATGAGGCATTTGTTGCGTCCAGTGGGGACATAATTACGGATTATAATGAGTTATATTGTCTTTTTACGCGCTGCATTGCGCCGCGTAAACATAAAACCATGTCTGTATTTGTGATTGAAGAAATGACACTACAAAAACATAAAATTATTAAATTAAATTTAAATGAAAGCTGGAAATATAAAAGCCATTTCATATAAATTGAAAACAAACTAAAACGGAAATAAATTATACCTAAATAGTAATATTTAAAAAAAACAAAAAACTAACAAAATGACTAAAAATTCAAATATTTAAATGAAAACTGAAAATGTAAAGATTTAAGCTAATTCAATATATACAAAATATTGTAGAATTTGTAATTAATAAATATTACATTGAATAAATAACTTACTAATAATAAAAATGAATACAATATTTTGACTTTCAGCCGTCTGGAGACGCAGTGGCCGGCAGCGAGCAGGGTGCAGGACAGAGACTGGTGATCTGGGGGACTGATGTCAATGTGGGAACCTGCAAGGAGAAGTTTCAGGTAAAAAGCTGGCAAAAAGCTTTTCTTCCATGACAAAATGATTATTGGTTTAAAATGTTCTTTTTTTTTTTTATATTTTTTTTTGCAGCGTTTCCTTCAGCAATTCACAGACCCCAACTCCAGAGAGGAGGAGAACGCTGGTCTGGATCTGAATGAGCCTCTTTATATGCAGAAACTGGATGAGGTGAGAAGTGCAGTACTGACTAGAAAGGCATAAACAATGATTGCACATGTTTAGTCATGCAGAATCCTTAATATCCAGTTCTTGTGTAATAATATTGCTGCTTTGTGTGTGTGTGTTTCAGATCAGTGTTGTTGGAGAGCCGGTACTGAATGTGAACTGTAGTCATATTCAGACATTTGATGCTGATCTCTACCGTCAGCTGATCTGTTATCCACAGGTGAGTGTGACAAGCCTAGTAATAAAAATTAAACATCAAGAAGTTATTTTTGGTTTTAAATAATAATAACTTTTATTCAGTATAGTATAAAAAAAGATGTAAAGACATTTATAATGTTACAAAAAAATTACAATTCAAATAAATTCTGTTCTTTCGAAATTTCTATTCATCAAAGATTTCTAAAAAAAAAAAAACACATTTTTAAGTTTTCAACATTGTGCATCAAATCAATGTGACACTGAAGACGAGTAATGATGCTTAAAAAATTCAGCTTTGCATCACAGGAATAACATATTCAAATAAATTGTTTATTTTAAATTGATAATATTTCACAATTTTACTGTTTTTACTGTATTTTTTTAAATCAGATAAATGCAGCCTCGTTGAGCTTTTTCTTTCAAAAACATTGAAAAAAACTTTATTGTATTGTCACTTTGACCTGTTATTGAAAGTCTTTCACTCTTCTCCTCGCAGGAAGTCATCCCCACTTTCGATATGGCCGTCAATGAGCTCTTCTTCGATCGTTTTCCAGACTCCATTTTGGAGCATCAGATTCAAGTGCGTCCCTACAGCGCCCTGAAAACCAGAAACATGCGTGCACTCAACCCTGAAGGTAAGAGACCCAGTGCATCATGATCGCACACTGTTTATTGAGAAATGTCTGTAGCCGTCACATCATCGTCTCTGGTCTCTTTCAGATATTGACCAGCTCATCACTATCAGTGGGATGGTGATCCGCACCTCTCAGCTGATTCCTGAGATGCAGGAGGCGTTCTTCCGCTGTCAGGTGTGTGCGTTTAACACGCGTGTGGAGGTGGACCGCGGCCGCATCGCTGAACCTGCTGTCTGCCGCAACTGCAACACCACCCACAGCATGGCGCTGGTGCATATTAATATTTTCGATTTTGTTTATTAATCGTATTTGTAGGTTATGAACATTTAATTTAATATATAACTGTTATATATCTTTTTATTATTTTTACATTTTTGCACAATATATTATTATAATTAATAATATATAATGTTATGGAATATTGTTTATCGTTACTATTTTTTAGTGTCATTTAATATTTTAACTTAGTTCTTATAATGTAACAGAATAATATTTTACGCAGTTTAAAATATCATAAGTAACAACACATAATGTTAGTAATATTCTATTATTTGTGCTGTTACTATTATTTTATAATGTTAAATATTCTATACATTTTCATTATTATTGTTTATTCATAGAATATTACGTTTGTATAGGAGATCATGGTCTGCACTCACTGTCGTCTTTTTTCATTTTAGAAGTGTTTTCGTGAGTGCGGCTCATGATCTCCTATGCGAAGTAATTTAACTTAATTTAAAATAAAAAATATAAAGTAATTTAACAGATTGATGCACCAAATAAAAAGATTAAGTGACGGAAGAGTGTGGTGTAACCGGCGTTATAGAATATTACGTTTCTAACGTTATCTTATATAAACAGTGTTATGTAATATGCTATAATTAATTATAAATAATAATAGAAGTAGTAGCACTTATTGTTGGTAGGGTTATTTATATATAGTGATAATTCTTTATAGCTTATTATTTGTATTTTTTTATCTAATTACTTTATTAAGAGAATTTTGAATGAAATATTTTAAAAGCTTTGATGTCAATTGAAGTTTTTTTTTTATGTATTATAATATAATTGGTATTGTGAAAAGTCTTAACCAGCATGTCTGTTATTCTCATCAGGCATTTACAGAGCCGCCCCCATGCGCCTGAACCCACGACAGAGCCAGGTGAAGTCTGTGTACAAGACCCACATCGACGTCATCCACTTCCGGAAGACGGATGAGAAGCGTCTTCACGGACTGGATGAGGACGGCGAGCAGAAACTCTTCACCAAAGAACGGGTCACAATGCTCAAAGAACTAGCGGCCAAACCGGACGTCTACGATCGCTTGTCCTCCGCGCTGGCGCCCAGCATCTATGAACACGAGGACATCAAGAAAGTGAGTTTTAATTGGTACTGCTTAAGACGGCCTCATGTTTTTCCTTAGAACAGATGCAATTCAAATGTTTCTCAGGATGTGAGTTAATTGTAGGCTTTTTTTTCCCAGGGCATCCTGCTGCAGTTATTTGGCGGGACCCGTAAGGACTTCACTCAGACGGGCCGCGGAAACTTCCGCGCAGAGATCAACATCCTGCTTTGTGGTGATCCGGGTACCAGTAAATCCCAGCTGCTGCAGTACGTGTATAACCTGGTTCCTCGTGGGCAGTACACGTCTGGGAAAGGATCCAGCGCTGTGGGTCTCACAGCGTACGTGATGAAGGACCCGGAAACCCGACAGCTGGTTCTGCAGACGGGAGCGCTCGTGCTCAGCGACAACGGCATCTGCTGCATCGACGAGTTCGATAAGATGAGCGACAGCACGCGGTCTGTGCTGCATGAGGTCATGGAGCAGCAAACGCTCTCTATTGCTAAGGTGAGGGTGATGCGTGAACAATCACTGTGACGATTGATTGTTACGACAGGTAATTAATGCAGTTTTTGTGTGTCATAGGCTGGAATCATTTGCCAGCTTAATGCTCGGACCTCCGTTCTCGCTGCAGCCAATCCGGTGGAGTCTCAGTGGAACCCCAAGAAGACCACTATAGAAAACATCCAGCTGCCTCACACGCTTCTGTCCAGGTAAGAACACAACATGACACAGCATTTACAACACACTTAACATCCATAATGTGATGTATTTTTGAGAGAAACAGAATTTTGAGTGGATCATTTCCACGAGAACGATTTATCCATCAGGATTATAGTTGATTGTAAAAAGTGAGCTACACTACTCTTCAAAAGTTTATTATAGTTAACTTAAACCGTAAGAAAACATTTGTTACTTAAAATAAATGGTAACTGAAATAAATAATAAACACTTGCCAAGCTAGTTGCAAAAACAAAACTTCTCATGTAATTTAGTCAACTTAATGTAGTAAAAAAAAAAAATATTGACATTATTTAAAAAAACAAAATAAAAGTGACAAACACCACAAAATTACTAAAACTTTAAAATGAAATAGATTATAAATGTCTTTACTGTCACTTTTGATCAATTTAATCCAATTTCTTTTGTAGTGTTAGCAATAAAGTCCTCTCAGAAGAGAAAATGTACTATTTAAAAATTTTTTTTACAATTGGCGAATTGTACAAGTAACCCTAGAGACGTTTATTATAGACCGTAAATGGTATACATTTTGACTTTAATAATCTCAATCTGTTTTAAACGTTAACATCCAAATGTTAAAATACTTCATTTGAGCTTTTTTGTTGAACATTTCTCTTTATTATTAGTAAACTAATAAAATCTCTGGTTCTTAGGTTTGATTTGATCTTCCTGATGCTGGACCCTCAGGATGAGGCGTATGACCGGCGTCTCGCGCATCACCTCGTGGCTCTGTATTATCAGAGTGAAGAGCAGATTGAAGAGGAGCATCTGGACATGGCCATGTTGAAAGACTACATCGCTTTCGCTCGCATGTCTGTGCATCCCAGACTCAGTGAGGAAGCTAGTCAGGCCCTTATTGAGGTATAGAAACAATATAGATCAATGTACCTGTAGTATGATATATAATGCATGTTGACGATATTAAATGAATTGTAATTTTGACCCTTGCAGGCCTATGTAGACATGCGTAAGATCGGCAGCGGCAGAGGGATGGTGTCTGCGTACCCCCGTCAGCTGGAGTCTCTCATCAGACTGGCTGAAGCTCACGCTAAAGTACGTTTCTCAAGCAAAGTCGAGTCCATCGATGTGGAGGAAGCCAAGAGACTGCACAGAGAAGCCCTGAAACAGTCCGCAACTGATCCCAGGACAGGATTCGTGGATATCTCCATCCTCACCACAGGTAGAGTTAACTGAAATAAATAATAAACACTTGCCAAGCTAGTTGCAAAAACAAAACTTCTCATGTAATTTAGTCAACTTAATGTAGTAAAAAAAAAAAATATTGACATTATTTAAAAAAACAAAATAAAAGTGACAAACACCACAAAATTACTAAAACTTTAAAATGAAATCAATAGGCCCTTATTGAGGTATAGAAACAATATAGATCAATGTACCTGTAGTATGATATATAATGCATGTTGACGATATTAAATGAATTGTAATTTTGACCCTTGCAGGCCTATGTAGACATGCGTAAGATCGGCAGCGGCAGAGGGATGGTGTCTGCGTACCCCCGTCAGCTGGAGTCTCTCATCAGACTGGCTGAAGCTCACGCTAAAGTACGTTTCTCAAGCAAAGTCGAGTCCATCGATGTGGAGGAAGCCAAGAGACTGCACAGAGAAGCCCTGAAACAGTCCGCAACTGATCCCAGGACAGGATTCGTGGATATCTCCATCCTCACCACAGGTAGAGTTTAGAGTAGTGCTGTCAAGCCATTAATCGCATCCAAATAAAGGTTTTTGTTTACATAATATATGTGTGTGTGTGTACTGTGTATATTTATGTATATATAAATACACACACATGCATGTATATTTAAGAAAAATCTTACGTTTATATAAAATATTTACATGTATATACATTTATATTTTATATTAAATATATATAAATTTAATATATAACCATAACATGTTTTCTTAAATATATACATGCATGTGTGTGTATTTATATATACACATAATAAATATACACAGTACACACACACATATTATGTAAAGAAAAACTTTTAGTTTGCATGCGATTAATCGTTTGACAGCACTAGTTCAGAGATGTAGTAATAAACTTAGTACTGGCCAGGTCGAGTCACATGGTCTTGTTTATAACTCGAAAGAAAAGTATTAATATTAAAATGTTAAATTATTAAGATTACTAATAAATGTGACCCTGGACCACAAAACCAGTCTTAAAGGGTTAGTTCACACTGTCATTAATTACTCACCCTTGTGTTGTTCCAAACCCGTAAGACCTTCGTTCATCTTCGGAACACAATTTAAGATATTTTTGATGAAATATGAGGGCTCTCTGACCCTCCCATAGACAGCAAGGTAACTACCACGTTCAAGGTCCAGAAAAGTACCAAGATGATCGACAAAGTAGTCCGTGTGACATCAGCGGTTCAACTGTAAAGTTACGAAGCTATGAGAATACTTTTTTGAGCAAGAAAACAAAAATAACGACTTTATTCCACATTTTCGTCTCTACTGCGTCACTTGTGGATGCGCGTTCATGACAGTATCATGACACGAGCGTGTGGCGGTGTTTTCTTTGCACAGGCATTTCATCAATTATCCTTAACTAGTAACTTAATGTCGTATGCAGATTTGCTGTCATGGTTTTAATTGGTTGTTTCTGTAAAGATATGAATGCTTGTGCAGACCACTGCTATGTCTCAATAAAAGAACAATTAATATAAAAATTTTAATATTTTAAATTAATAAAGTAGGAATAAATCAATGCAATTAAAGTATATCAAATATTTTAATTATTAGTTTCCCAACTTATCCCTTTATTATGCCTTAACTAGTACCTGTGGATATTGTATGCAAATTGAAGAGAGTCTGATGCTTTTGATTGGTTGTTTCTGGACAGGAATGAGCGCTACAGCACGCAAGCGTAAGGAGGAAGTGGCTCAGGCTCTGAAGAAACTCATCCAATCAAAGGGCAAAACACTAGCTATGAAGTACCAGCAGCTGTTTGATGATCTCCGTGGCCAGTCAGAAGCGGTATGCTTTCCTGTAATTATTTTAATAATGCTAATAATGCATAGACACTCCAACTATATATGCAAGCCTGAAGCCCAAGGAAAATCTTAACTTAAACATTTTCCTCCCATTTCAGGCCATCACAAAGGACATGTTCGAAGAGGCCCTCAGAGCACTTGCTGATGAAGATTATCTGACCGTCACAGGAAAGACTGTTCGGCTTCTGTGAACGCTCGCTGTGCCTGACTGCTGCTTCCTCCCTTTTGTTACTTGCTTTATCCTATTCTCTGTTTCTATAGAGCAATTATTGTTAATAGTGATATGTATGGACAATTTCTGGTTGCAATAAATGAATTTTGTTGTTCAAGAGAAGACTTTGGTGGTGGTTTATAGCTGTTATTTACATCATCAAATGTGGAAAGCATCTATTCACTGAACCGAATCAATCACATGGTGCTGGTTAAAACCTCAAAGAATCACTTAAACAAGGTGCAAGAACAACAATACAAACCCAAATGGGACAAATGGATATAAAAACACTCGATGGCAATGTATTATCACACAGGAACTAGAGCTTCTGATTTATTATAAATGGAATATTTACACAATGGGAAGAAAATTAACAGAATAGGAGAGAAAATGGGAAACAAACTTTTTATGTAATATGTGTCATTTTAGGAATGTAGACTGAGAAACTAAGTAAAAAATAATTAATTGCTTGCATTCAGTGCTCTCTGATATCTTGTTTTCTCACGAAAAAGTCCCTTATTGAAGGATAATGTCATAAATGACCTGTTTTTTAAGTATATTACAGAGGGCTGAAAAGCGAAATTGAGGACAAAGATATAAAATTACCAATTAAAACAATATTTTAACTGCATCAACTGAAAACATGACAACATCCTCAAGGTGTACTAGTGGAACGATATAATTTAACACGTCCTTAAATGTGATATTGTAAAAAAAGCAAAAAACGTATTGTCAAGCTCAAGTGTAATAAATGATATATTAATAATTTTGCAGTGGAGCCACGCCCCTCCCTCGCTTCCTACAGCACGGGCATTAGTCACATGACGCGTCGACGTCACGCTTTCGTACGCTTTTGGATTCGGGCAGAAGAAGATGGCGGCCTCCTCAGGTTTGTCTCACAATCTCCTCAATCGTCGCGGTCCTCCGCGGCCGTAATATAGCAACAGAAGCGTTGAGCCCGTGCCTCGCGACCCGTTAAAGATTATCCGACAGGTTTACCGTTATCAAACTCCTTAATTTACTTCACCTAACAGATCTGTGTGCAGTTTGAACTGTGTGTGTGTTAGCATCGAGCTAACGGCCCTCAGATAGACCTTTAGTTTAAAAATAACATCATATTTATTTTTTATTATCAGCTAATCAATATTATAGACGCGCTTCAGATATAATTATGGACTTCTAAAGTAGTAAGGCATAGATTAAATGCTGTATATTGCAGTTGGGCGGGTGTATCGGCGCAAATGTGAGGCGAGGCGGAGCATTGACGCGCGTGCTGCTGCTGGATCCGTCCAGTGTCATGACAAACGGGCCTTTAACTGCTGTTTGTCTGTCATATTAGCACCTGAGCAGGCTATTACTCCCTCATAGAGTCATTTAAACTATTTAAAGATAATAAGTCTTTGGAGAAGTGCGTTGTGATTGTGTAATATAGATATAGTTGCATAACAACACTAATTTAAGTGCAAAGCCATTTCTTAACAACACATGGCGTTTAGAGTTTATGAGGTGTTGATTTATACATATACACTAAAGGAGACTTTTTAAAATTTTAGTTGTTTAATTAATTGTTTAATGCAATTTACAGCAGTGTAAGATCATGTAGCCTATGTTCAGATCAAATAACATTTAGAGTTTATAGGCTACATATGTACAGAACAGCTAATCTTGTTGTGTTTTTAACATGTTAAAACTCACAGATCATTACATTTGCACAGGCTAATTTGGACATTTGCTTATCTAGAATCAGATATATGAAATTTAGGACTGTGTGTGTGTGTGTTTACATATTATCTTAAATGTTTACATAAGGTCAGATGCATCAGCCGATATTTTATCAGACAGAAATATATTGAGTTGTTCAGGCTTGTGCATGTCGTGTTCGTCTTGAGATTTTGAGGAAGTGAGAAACACTGATAGAGCAACATGGGTGTCATTTCCTGAATCATTTACAAATGAGTGATCAGTCTTTCCTTCAGACGCTCACCTGAACTTGCGAATCTTGTCCCTCCACTTTTTCAACACTGGAGTATCTATGAAAACACTAGGTGATACTCAGTGTTGAAATGCACAGATTACTAACGTTTCACATTTGAAACCGCACAGATTTTGTGTGTTTAAATCTTATAGGTTCCTACATTATCATTTTTGTCTTGGTTGAGTATTTAAATTAAATTACTCATTTAAATTGTACGTTAAATAAGAGTTTTTTTTTCACATTTACAATAAAGAGAAGCTTTTGTTGGTTTAATATGAGATAACGTTTAAATTAAGCTTTTAAATTGTACCATCCACATCCACAAAAAAAGGAAACAGATGTTGGTTTCATATTAAATGAAATATGCAACTCTCTGAAATGTTTGTGATCATATATACAAACTCTGTGATCATTGTGAAATCAGATATTAAATATGAATTCCCTGAATGATGTAGAATGAACCCATGAAAACCTTTTACATAAATTGAATCATAAATGCATAAGGAGAGGAAAAGTGTATATTTTAGGTTTCATTTTTAATCAACTTTTATTCCTTTTGCTTTTCACTTATGTAGTCTTGCGGTGTGACAAATACATTTTTAAGAATATAAATATTTCATGAAGTCACTCAATTAATATGAACTCATAAAAACTGCATGTATAATAATTATACAAGAGTCTTGAAAAATTGTTATGCTTCATCTTAAATGATTTCCAACATGTCAAACTAACCAGCTGCAAACAAACGTTTACAGAAACATGTTCATGAGTTGTTTTTGGATTCTTGCAGGAGTTAAAGTCCCTCGTAATTTTCGTTTGTTGGAAGAGCTTGAGGAAGGACAGAAGGGTGTCGGTGATGGGACGGTGAGCTGGGGTCTGGAGGATGATGAGGATATGACTCTCACACGGTGGACAGGCATGATCATCGGACCTGCACGAGTATGTTTGCTGTTTAATCAGTTTAATGTAGCAGTTAAGTGACAACACTGATGACTCATCTGAAGAAAGTATCACATTCTTCAAATGATGTGTTAAGAAATGAAGATTTTGTTTGTTGCATTTCAGCTATTTTGATAGCTGACTGGAAGCCTTGGGCACCAGTAAACAACATGCCTTCATCATGCCATCCAGCGTGACACATGACCGCTGGTGGTGTAGATTAAAGATAAAGATGCATGCTATGAAAGCAATAATGCAGCAGAAATGTCCTTCACTGATTTATGTATTTGTTCAAGTTGGCAACTGATTCTTTATTGGTCTGGAAATATGAATCACTCAAAGGTCTTTAGGATAGATTTGCTTAATGGGTAAACTGAAACCTGCCATGAAACCTAGGTCATATTTCACCCCCAGAATTATTGAAATTATGTTTTGCATAAAGATAATGAAGGCTGTTTGTATGAGCGTTTGCAATGAACTCATTTTCATGACAATTAAGCCCTTTCATTATGAATTTAATTATTACTGTTTGTAATAAAACAGAAGGCAGGATGAGAATGAGATTTTTTTTCTTTTCCACACTGCAGTAAATTTTGGGTGCAACAAAATTCTGAATTGGTATGAATATGCATATAATATGAATGGTCCTAAAATTTACTTACTTTTTAATGTAAATTATTAACTTTCTTATTTTGAATTCAGGGTGAAAAATGACCTTTACATTTTTTCTTAGTGAGAATCTCCATAATAATAGTGCTGTTCTACAGGCGAAGTAAGATAATTCTACCTTTTAGTTTGTTTGTTTTTCAGGGAGCTTTTAACCTAGTAATTTGCTAAATAGAAGTGGTTCTTTAGCATTCAAAATATTCAGCTAGCCTGAAATTACAAGATAAGTGTGTATAGATAATATTGGTGAATTCCTTTCTCTTTTACATGTCATCATTCAAAGAAAAAAGTGCAGGGTTTTTGCAGGTCTTAATTTGCCCTTCCATAAATTAAGGCCTTAAAAAGGTCTTAAATTGGAGCTGAAAGTCATAAATTCATACATTTCTAGCATTTAATGTTGCATTCACTGCAAAAATACAAATATAATAGAAATATCTAAATATTCTTAAATCGTCTTGCATTTGCTTGAGATGCAAAATAATATGAAGTCTTGTTTTCTGAGAAATTGAACAAAATGAATTGAGTTTATGCTTAAAACAAACAAATATGTCGAAAGAGCCGGTCTTAAAACGTATTTTTATACTCTGGCTTTTAACTCAGTATGAGAGCTGTTTTATGTATTTTGTTAGTGTTAATATCTGCTATTTTTGCTGTGTGTAAAAATTTTTTATTTTGATTATGCTTGTACAGCACTTTGGTGAGCAATTGTTGTTTTAAAAAAGTGCTCTATAAATAAACTTTGATTTGATTTAGAGCATAAAAACTTGTTTTCATTTTGCGTTTAAGAGTCCATTGGCTGAAATTAGTTCTTGTTTTATTCAAACTCACTTCATTTTGATCTGTTTCAGAAAATGACTTCTTATCTTAAGGCATATTGCTTTGCTTCTTGAGACGATGTTTTTTGATTTAAGAAACTTTAGATATTTGTAATCGAAAACAACATACTGAGAGCTACTGAGGAAGAATATCACATTTTTGCAGGTGCAGTAGAAATTATGGTTATTTCCATATTTTAGTTGTTGGGAACAGAGGTATTCAAGCCTTAAGCTATTAGTTTCTAAAATGAATTAAAAAGTAATGGAGATCTGTTGGAAGTTGTATTTTTAAACTTTCTCATTTTGTGCTCCCTAGACATTTGCATTTTGAGAATATATTGACGTATTTTGTTCCCGTTCAATTTATTCTGTAAATTTTCTTTACTTGGTCTTAAAAAGGTCTTAAAACATCTCAAATGTACCATCATAAAACCCTGAGTTAAGTGTGATGCTGTGTTTCCATCTGTAGTCTAATATTGTGTGCTGTTATCGTATAGAATACTAAGGATGAAAACATTGTATCAGCATGTGAGGTGTGATGTTTTTTTTTTTAAGATGTGTGGGTCTGTTCTCTTTGATGAATTGATGTGTTCATTATCCTCTCACTTTCATGTTCCACTTGGCATTTCGGCTTTAACCTTTGACTTTTTCCTCATTTCTCAGACTAATTACGAAAACAGGATATACAGCCTGAAAGTGGAGTGCGGACCTAAATATCCCGAAGTACCACCGACTGTTAGATTTGTAACAAAAATTAGCATGAATGGAATAAATAATTCCAATGGGATGGTAAGTTGAATCATCTTTATAAATGACTATTTTGATTGTTATTTTAAGAGTATCGTCAGCTGTGTTTGAGATCATTTAGCTGCAAACTGTTAGAAATGTGTGACGTTGCAGTTTTTCATAGCGATGCAGAACAGAGGCACTCGAGTCACATCAGTGCTGCAGAGGAGGGACGTTTTTCACTGTGCCTAAGCAGAACCAATAATGAATCTCAAACACATCTAATGAGATTCAGCTGGATACAAAATAGAAAAGGAGCCATAGTAAATTAAACTCTTTATTACTCCACAGAGGGTTGTTATATTGTTGAATCCTCATTTGTGTCTGTTTTTCTTAATGGTTGGTCGAAATAGTCTGTTGGATTTAGAATCCAAGTCTTTGTGCTGTTTGCTTAGTAGAAGTATACTGGTTTAAGATTAACTAAATCCTAGACATTTTACAAGCTAATTTGTTGAAGCAAATAGGGGGAAATATGATAAGTTGTGTCTTAAATTTAATATCAAATTGACTTTTAGTCAAGTAAAGGTGATACAGCTAATTATACATAAGCATGTCTGCCTTCAACTAAAATGAGAAAGAAACTTTTGTAATATGACTTCTCAAAAATATGGTGCAGTGACGCATCTTACCCCATGTTCAGACTGAAGATTGTCACCCTGTGCACAAATAAAGATTGAGTTTCTTGTTTTTTGTCACAAGATTAAATGACACATCTTACCCTTAACTCTACAGTAATGATTATAAAGCCCAGTCACCTGGCTCATCTGGAAATTAAGGTCTATTTGATACATTTTTATACAGCAGTCATACTGATACCACAGGAAATTTTTGTGATACGTTTTTGCTAAGTGGAATATTCTTTGCGCCCACTTTAATTGACTTCTAGTTTAAGCTTTTACTGTTTTTGTGCTTTTTAGCTAGTTGGTATGTTGGTATGAGAAAATCTCATTGACGAGTTCCAGGTTCGAGTTTAGCTGTTTCAACGGCATTTGTGGCATAATTTGATTAGCACAGAAAATACTTTTGACTCATCCTTCAGTTTTTATGCAAAAATCACATTTGCAGTAAAACACTGCCTTTGTGAGTTAAAGGGTTAGTTCACCCAAAAATGAAAATTAGTCTGCGTTTTACACACCCCCGAGGCATCCTAGGTGTATAGGACTTTCTTCTTTCAGACGAATCCAGTCGGAGTTATATTAAAAATTGTCTTTGATCTTTCAA